AGAGAGAGAGAGAGAGAGAGAGAGAGAGAGAGAGAGAACACCAAATAGAGAATCTTGACATACCTGCTATAGATGGTTGCAAAAAACTGTCTCAGCCGTGAAGGCATCGGAGTCTCAATATTACCAAACTCCTACAAGTCAAATCAAGTGTAGAACAAATCAAAACACTGAAACAATCAGTATCAAGAGGCATTGAAATGCAGAGTACAAAGTGACAAGATCATCTGCATATATTTTGGCATAGAAGTTAATCCCAAAAATCAAAGGGAAAGGAGATGAGACTCAAATCTTTTAGGCGAGCTTACTTCAAGCCTGCTGAAGATATGCCAAGTTATCAGCCATCAAATCCAATAGACTCAATAGTCAAGACACAGTGTAACCAATTGACCAAGAACACAACATCAAAAGACGTATTTTATTTTGAATGTCAAATTGTAGATTTAAACAATACAAGTTAGGTTAAGGTAAGGGGTGTTTTAACCAAGTTATCTTCATATAAAATAGCCAAATTTGCTATATATAATAATATTCTAGGATGTCATCGATGGGATTCACTTTGATCAATCAACTCTGGGCCCAATAAAAAAATCTATCTTAAGTCACTTAAAGCTCGCAAATTGAATTCTAGATTCATGCTACCGTTGAAGATAACAATGTACTCCATAGTGGCCACTAATTTCTAGAGGTAAGTTATTACCAAAATAATTATTTGCCATAGTTTTGAGTTTTAGAAGACTGCAATTTCGACAAGATGTCCAAATGCACTCAATAGTACTTGGTAGTCACTTTGTAGATGAAAGTGATTTCCAAAGAGTAAAGACCATAGTTTGAGTTTTAGAAGACTGAACTGGTGGTTAAGGAAGTACCAATTTCAAAACCTACAGAAGCTTAATCGAACTGCTAATTGGATAAATTAACTAAGACATCTCTGGCTAAAATGCCAATTTCATTAATCTGTCAGTTTAGGATGTCAAATTTAGCAGCTGATGGACTTGAGAAGAGTCGAAATTTATAATTGGAAGTTTATCAGTCTTGCACGATGGAACTGTTTAGCCCTAAGAACTAATGGGGACTCTGACACTGAATCCTTATGTTGGGAATTGTGCTACAATATAAGATTGTGGCATATTGAAATTTGGAAATATAGACCATCGAGGGAGACAATGTTAAGGAGATATGTGAGGATGCAAGCTGGAGGAGGCTACATAGTTGATCCCAAGCCATCAAAAATGAAGCAACAACTTTCCCCATATTAGACAATGCCAGAACTACTAAGACTACAATATTAACCAAAACAAGAGGAAGATTACCAGAAACGTTGCTGATCTCCCAGAAGGGCTAGCATATTTGCTCCAACCATACTTGCAATAGCCGGAACCACCTTCACAAATTAAAAATTAATAATCTTCAAAAATTACAAAATTTATCTAACGACTAATTTTCAGTTCAAATGTTGGGAGTCAGAGAGAAACACTGTTTTTTCCATATTTGAACAGATTCTATCAAGCGCCATTACTAATTCTTTGCATTCATTTGGTTCATAGTATCGGAAGCAATAAAATATGAAAACAAATGTATTGCATTTTAAAAATATGAGAGACCCCAATAGGGTTATTGTATTATTACAGACGAAGTTATGCAGCAAGGCTGTGACCAAGATATGTACTCAATGTCTGTATCTTTTTGTACATGTATCTACTTGACTCTTCAGAAATTGTATGAACATTCAAGGTCACATGTTCTATAACATCTTATGAGGGGGGAGGGGGATGGTAAGTGCTTCTTCTTTTTTTTCAGATTTTGTGCCATTAATTAAAGTAAAAATTTTATATAGAGCCAAGGCCCTAAACAATCAAATTAGAACCCACCTCAAAAATTTCACTAGAAGAGGTTGTTTTGATGCCCAAATATCCTCAAATTGATCATCTCGACATCAAGATGCATGGACATGAGAAAAAAAGGATTTCAAATTTTAGAAATAGTGCATCTTGTAACTCAATTTTGGACCGTCAATTTTCAAGATTTTTAAGTTTTTATAGATTTGCTCAATCTACCCTATTTTTTAAGCTTGAATTTATAATTAGAGATGAAAATATATTTTAAGGCTATCACAAAGATTCCCAGTATTGAAACCACATTCTCGACACTATTTGAAGGTGCACTTTACTTTGATTGTTTAGACCCTCGGCTCTATACAAACCGCACCCATAATCAAAAAGTTTTTTTAACTTCCAAATCTATTCATAGCATCTACAGAAGAAGCATTGAATCTTCAATCCAGTGTCTATACCCTCTACCTAAATATGATTATGAGGAAAGATAAAGGTCCTCTACGAACAAAAATTGATAATGCAAGAGCATAAGAAAAAGGTTGGCCTTTCCTATACACTTCCCTTTTGCATGAAAGTATGAAACAATTTGAACATGTTATGTCTCTAGGTCGAGGAACTCCAATAAGCTCCCCATAAGCAAAATGTTGTCTGGTTTACATGGATGGCATGGGCAAGTTTGATGCATTGTTGTTGGAAGCTGGAGCAGGTGTGGAATGAGCTATCGTTGGTAGCAAGAAGCTACCCAATTGCAGATCATCATTGTAGTGCTCTTACAATAAATATACAAAAATATGTGAATTTTAAAAACATAAAAAGGGGAATGATCCTGTGTATTTTTTATTTTTCCCTTTAATCTCAAGATTGGTTTTCAATCAGATGGTTACAATCTAAAATCACAAGACTTTGTATTTAAGTTACACAGGATCATTGCCAAAGTAATAATATTGTTTTCTAATAAAACTTCTACAGCAGATATTTATTTGCCCAAGTCCTATCATATAAAAACATTGCATGGTAATATACCAAAGTTATTTATTAGATCAATCTATTGCAATTTTTAATATAAGTTATTACTAAATTTCAGTAAAAAAAAAAGCGATGCCCTTTTCTTCCCCTAGCCTTCACCATAAATTAAAAAGGAAAAAATAAAAAATAAAACTATAACATAGATAGAAAGGGATTAAATACAGAAAGAGAAAATAGAGATGAATTTTTGTCCAGTATGACTAAACCTGGCTCACCATTTTCTCTTTAATGCAATTATGGAACCATTGCATTAGGTTCCTTTTTTTTAAAAAGAATGATCTGGATTTAACAATCCTTTCCCCTTAAAAAGAAATACTGTAAAAGGATTTGCATCAATAGTTCTTTCATTTCAGATGGACATGCATTTAAGGCTTTCTTGTTCGATAGATATGGATAAGGCATCTCTTTCTCTATGGGAAATATAAGGAACATGATTTTGCAACATAGTTACTTTTGTTTGATTCAACTCCTGTTTTTCATTTTCACATGCTCTCATTTGATAGAGGACACTTGGTTTACTGTGTTGCTCTAAAATAACAGCAAGTAAGCAACCTCAACCTGACTAGGAAAATGCATATTTTCTCTATAAAAATTTCACTCCAAGCATCACTTCTGTACCATACACCAATGCTGCCCCAAATCTCAATTTGCATAGATGAGATGCCAATGGATGATTATTAAACAGTTCAAGCACACACTTAGAATTAAAACAAATTATATAGAACATAGTTGACTTATGAAAGAAACTAAAATAGAAAACATAGTTTTCTGATGTAAGAAACTAAAATTTAATAATCCAGATGATACAATAAAAAACAGAAAAGGAAATTCATGACATCTAGGGAGGATAAGGCATAGAAGAAAAACAGCAGCGCCTCACCATCAATAATGATCGAACCATGTACTTGTGCCCTCATATTGTGTATTTGCTTGAAAGGCAATTCAGATAAACAACTATCATGAGACCTGTATTACAGAATAAGTTAAGTCACCAATTACCATAGTCTTCGCAATTTATTATGCAGTATAATGGCAATAGCATGCATTGGGGTATGCATGTGAGTGCACTACAAGAGAGTCATCATCAAGTTACATTATGAGCAAGCAATGTTGATGACCGTCAAAATTAGACATCCGAAAGTTGGTGAGCCAAAACTCTTGTTTCTTCATATTTTGTCATTTTCATTTAGTTACCTAGAAAGTAGATAAATTCAATCATATATATGACTATGAGGAACATTGTGAAACTCAAAAAAATTACAGATGCAAAATTTGAAAGCATGTGCATCAGGTTTATGGTGTAACTGTTTAACACACAGCTAATATCCACCCAACTGAACAATCACCAAACCAAACAATATAACATATGCAATAATCCGAAAATGGAAAACAATGGAAAAAACCACTCCTATAATGCAAGTCATCATGATGTTCTTGATTGCTAAACAAAAGTACATAAATGATCAGATATTCTATGGCTTCTCAATAAAATGGAAAATTTTGAAGGAATCTAACCACCTCATCAGTGGCATGGAGTTACTTTTCTCAATTTCACAACCTTAATCAAAACAACTTACGTAAAGAAAAGCTAAATCGTCAATTATTAGATCAACAAAAATTCATCATTAACATGAGTCAATTTGAATTCTCCAAAAAAAAAAAAGGGAACCCATTTCTTAAATCGTGCAAAGGAAAAACTTGGCTGTGAAAACCATCATTTATTACATCAACAAAATTCTACCACTAATATGAGGTAAATTGAATTCTCAAAAAACTCACTGTAAAGGGAACCCATTTCTCAAATGGGTCTCAGCAAAAAGGATTGAATCCCAAGAATCAAGTTGGTTTTGAAGGAATAACATCCATAACCGATTATCTGAAAGAGCATCTCTCCATGATTTGCAAACAAGGCTTGCTCTTGAAGCTTCTTTGGGGTGAAGAAACTTGAATACCATTACAAACACATCAGAAGGAAGCTGGTCAACTGGGCTCATTGACACATGTTGATTCTCATTGCGCCCATTATTAGAATTGGACTGAGCACTCATGGTTGCCCACACTTTCCTCAATAACATTGCCATGGTTAATAGCTAGAGGAAATAAATGTAGTTAAATAGCTAAAGAGAGAAAGAGAACGAGAGAGAGATGTAAATAGGCTAGATTGCTAAGAACCCGACATGAATTATATGGTATGGAATCGACGCAGAGAGAGAATAAGTAAAAAGGAATCACGACTGTTAGCACCCATATGCACATACCAGCCAAAATGAGGTAGAAAGAGAGAAAGATACATAAATGGGGTTGAGAGAGAACGGGAGACAGTGTGTATTGTGTGTGTAAATGGGCTAAATTCCTGAAAAACCAATCTGAATTATATGGCATAGAATCAATGGAAAGAGAGAGGGAGGTCTAAAACCATATTCCTGGAATCCCAGTCTGAATTTTCTGGAATAAAATCAAGAGAGAGAGAGAGAAATCAAGTAGAAAATAGATTGAAATTGTAAGCACCCATACTGTCTGAAATGAGATAGACTGAGATAGACAGAGGAAGTGCAAATGTGCGGTTTTCCTCAAAACCCACACTGGATTCTATGGTCTAAGATCAATGGAGAAATAGAGATGAAGCAAAGTATTAGTACTCATCATTTATATGGTAACTGAGAAGGAGCAGAGAGAGAAAGTAAGTGTGAAAGCACCAAACTTTTCAACCTAGTGGAGTTGTATGTGGAGTCAACAGAGCCGGAGCCGGCCTTAACCCCAATCTGCACTACGTTACTCCTGATGCATCTATACTGAGGGAGAGAGAAACCTCTAGAAATGCCTGAACATCGGCTTTGTCGCTTTGGTGGGAGTCAAGTAACAGAGAGAGAAGCTATAGCGACAAAGGAGATGAGAAGGAAGAACCGCGTCCATCTTTCCCCGACTCCTCATGTATAATGGGTCCGGGTTGGGTCGGGTCGTATGGGCGGACCCTACCCAAAAAATAGGGTTCGGACGGAAATCATTGGATTTGGACCCGGACCAGATCAGACCCGACCCAAAAATAAAAAGATGGGGTTTTTAAAGGGCCTAGGCTTTCAAAAAAAAATAAAACGTCACCTCAGTTCCTTATCCGAAAACCACTGTATGCAAATGAAATCTCCACAATAGCTCTAAAATCAATTTCCAACACCAAATATAAATTTTGAAACTAAAAAAAATAGTACAGATTTCGGATACGTGAACACTTGTTTTTAGGGCGAAATGGGCGGTTTAGATAATTTGTTACAATATATACTATTTTTAAAGCTTGAAATCTTTTTTTTTTTTTACAAATCAAAATGATTGATGTAAAGGTTTTTCAATACTTGAATTGTAATTTTGAGTGAGATTTTACTTACTTCGATAGGGATGCAGCCATATCAAACCATTTTCCAAAATTAAAATATTTATGTATTTAACTATATTTAAATATATGAGGCGGTCGATCTAAAAATTTTCTTCAAAAAATTATGAAAAAATTTTGTATATATCCATTATATTTATCGTTATTACGAAAATATCTTCAAGTTTCTATTATTGCACATATATATTTTCACCATTGTAGCGATATTAAAAAAAAAGAAGGTGGAACATCCCATTTTCAGTTTTCAAAGACCAAAAATATAGAATTTTTTGTTTTTGGAAAAATCCGAAATCTCTTGTTTTCGGTCTTTGAAAAACCGAAAACTCACTTTTAATTTCCAGTAAGTTACTGGAAAGTAATCAATTTTCGATTTTTAAAAAACCGAAAACTTAGTTTCAATTTTCAATAAGTTATAGAAAAGTAACCACCGGTTTTTCAAAAAACGAAAAATCTAGTCTTTTGGGTTTTTGAAAAACCGAAAATTGTCTCCTCTTTCACTCAAGTCTTTAGCCCGCTATTCAATTGAAAATCACAGTCCACAAGATTGACTTATCTAAAGACAAAATTATTATCAATTTCAGTGGCTAACATGTGTTATACTGTTGCAAATTAATTATTGAAATAGTATAGTTTGGCTAGTATTATTTTCAGTTAGAGCAAACTGCAATTGTTTGTGCAGATGATTCTTTCCTTTGAGCTCCCATTTGCGCTCATTCCACCTCTCAAATTTACAAGCAGCAACATAAAGATGGGACCCTATGCTAATTCAATGCTGGTGAGGTTTGTCTTGAGAAAATATAAAACTCTTCTCTTTCTATCATGCCAAGAATTTAATTTTTCAATTTTGGAAAAGAGATGGAAGGGTAAGAGTTTAAAAAAACTCACAGCTGCTGCTAACATCACTTTAGATCCTTTAGAGTTCCAAGATATGTGATAATATAATGGCAACTCATTTTAAGTTTATGACATGGATTTCCAAGATAAAGGGCCGTCACTTGGTGTGACACTAAAAAAAAGCTCAGGTAGCCAGCAAAAGCGTAGGTTCAAGTCCCGCATAAAAAATGTTAGGACCGTTTCTAACCCACCCCTCTCTGGACCCTGTGTAGGCGGGGGTCAGCACTGGGTTACAGACCTTACATGGATTTCCAAGATGTTTGATGTGAAGGATATGAGGCAGAAGAGTAATTTTGAACATTTTTAGAAAATCATAGATGATGATGCTACCACTTCCAAACAATAAGGTAGCAATTTCATTCCTAATGGAGGGAGTACAGTGCTACATAGGAAAACTAGAAAGGGGACAAGTATGGATAAAAAAGAAAGTCGTGCCCGGCAAGACTTTGGGTAATCAAACCTGATAGAGAGGCAAAATAAAGAAACATTGCAGCCCAAGAGAGTGGCGACGCATAGGGGAAAAATTTACCGCACAAGTAGAGAGAAAGGGTTTTTAGGAGATTTAGGTTTTTGAATAACCAAATTTAATTGATTTTTAATTTTTTTAAAATCTAAATTAGTTGAACTACTGTTTTGAAAATGGAAGGTGCTTAAATAATTTTTTAAAGAAATCGATTTTCGAAAAATCAAAAATAAGAAAAACTGCCTTTTTTAAATAAAACTGTTATGGAGTTGAAAAAACGAATATAAATGTAATAACGGATATATACATACTTTTTTCAAAAATTATTATTTGTAATTATTTATATTTATTTTTTTAATAAATTAATCGTCTCCATATTGTTAGCTATTATACATAGAGAAAAGATTAAATCCAAAATATATCTAAAAAATATATCAATAAAAGGGGATGGATATTCACATATGAGTCCTAGGAAAAATAAAAACTGTCCTTGTATAAGTGTGACTTTTTCTCTCTTCGTTTCCCTGTAATCTCTTACTATTTTTGTGCATCAATTTTTTGGGTGTAGTTTGCATAAGGTCGCGACTTTAAACAATCAAAGCACGGTACTAAGGTGAACCTCCAAATTTTATCAAAATTTTATAATGAGATGTATTTTTGGCATAAAAAACTTGTAAGATAGCATGAGTATCTATTTTAGTCTCTAATTATAAAATTTTAAAATGTAATATTAGGATTCGAATTTTTTATTTTTTATTTTTCATATCCATACATCTCAAGTGTGAAATGATCAAATTGAGGATTTTTCAATCTCAATGTTGAAATAATCAATTTGAAGATTTTCCACTATCAAAACAGCCTTTTCCAATAGATTTTTTAGGTGCACCTTAATTTTACAATTTAAGGTCGCAACATTATATAAATTTTTTCTCTATATTTCTCTTTCCATTTCAAAATTATGCAATTTTAAAGTTGTACGATCGAAGAAATATATAAAAAACTGGACTTTTAGTATAAGAAGGTATTCGTTTTGGATTTAGTATAAGAAGGTATTCGTTTTGGATTTATGGAATTTTTAACTTTTAGTATAAGAAGGTATTCGTTTTGGACTTATAGAATTTTAACTTTTAGGAGTGCGGGCTAAAGAAAAAAAATTAATATTTGAAAGTTATCGAGATGATGACTCTCTTGAAGTGCGTTTGCACACAAACCCCAACGCATGTTACTGATAGGTGTTCAAAGGGGAGTTCCAAGGGGCGGCAACTCACCCTCGTTAAAGATTAATAAAATCTCAAAAAAAAATTATTGAAACATCTTCAACATATGATTTATAAATACATGTTTATATTGTTCATATGGTTTTTATGATGATTTGTTGACTTGTTTTTTTTCATGCTCGAATGCTTTATTTTCCCCTTTTAATTTTTTAAAATATTTATGCTCTAAATCAAAATTTTCAATAATTTATCTTTTATATTTTTTTTGGACTTTATTAGACTTTTAAAGATTTCTATTGCTCGTTTTATTTTTTGCTTAATTGCAAATTTTTTGCATTTCTTTTTGAATTTTCACCATTCCTCTGTTCTATACCGGACTAGTCCAAATCCTGTCGGACTTGGCTGAGTTACTCGGGCCAGGGCCCAAGCCGATTTTAAAAACATTATTATTCTTCAATGCATTTGTTTAGATTGGTATAAATCATTAGACAATGATGCCCTATCTTATTTTCATGTGTTTTGTAATTACAGGTCTCATATTTATTATTTATCTGAATTGCCTTTCGAGCAAATATACAATATGCCGACACAATTACAGAGTTATTATTTAATTGGAGAGAGTACACATTTTCCTGGTCATGTTGAAGTTATTGACTTGAAGTCATTTGAGAGCAATGCACTATAATAGTCTTCTTTCAAAATAGATGCAACAGAAAAGGAAAAACAAAAATTGCCAGCAAACATGCCCATACTATCCATGCAAACCAAATTGCCTAAGGGGATCCCAAAGGACATCCTCAACTTGAGAAATAACATGTTTAAATCTGTTCATACAAAAGGGAGAACCTTTTTTATATGCTCCAGCTCTATCCCTTAGTTTGCATGGAGGCCTCTATCTCCCCTGATAATCATGTTTAGGTAGAGGACACCAACCCCAAGTTGAATATTCAATGCTTTCTCTGTAAATATTATGAATGAATTTGCCTCGAAAGCCATATAATTAAGGAGACAATAAAATTTTAAAAAATAAAAATAAAAAATAAAAAAGGCTGTGTATATTTCATAAGGGTTCTGAGCACCTCTCCCCTCTTATGAGATGCTATGGACAATGTAACCTCAACTTCCATACAATTTCTCAGGTGTCATGTAGATACATCTATAAAATACAAAAAGATACATCAAGTGCAAATCACAATCACAGCCTTGCTGCAAAACTTCAGTAGTAATAAAGCAACCTTGATCATGCCCTTAATTAAATTTATTGGTGTCTCATATTTTTAAGTGCAATACATTTCTCTCCAGAAAATCATAGAAACTTTGGCTTGGTTAGCCATCTCATCAAGCCAACCTCAATGAAGACCCTAATGCCAATGAAAAACTCTCACGCCATTACTTTTGGGCCCTGAATGGAAGGGCCCAAGAGACTCCTTGCATTCATCCTTCCAGTTGCTCTCTTAATTCCCACTCTCATTTCCTAGACAATTTCTTTTTCATGCTACTTCCCTTTCTTTTGACAATACACAGTCTTAACTCCTGTTCACGACCATGAACCCGTTAAATAAAACTCTTCTTCGCCCGTCAAATTTAAGACAAAACTGCTAAAGGGCAGCAAACTGCAATCACTGGACTAAAATATAGAGCAAATGGAGACAAAAACAAGCACATGGAGAAGATAATGAGTGTTAACTGTATATCTTAAAATTTTCATTTCTCGTGCACAGTAATCAAATAACATTGATGTAACAAGTTGAATATTCATACATACATAAAATATCCATAACAAGTTTACGACCATGAAAGAATCCACAATTATTATAAAGAGATACACACAATCCCTAAAAAACCAAAATGCAAAATTGTTACTGCAGATGTTTTGCTGAATTCTAGAATCCTAATTTCCCATTCCCAAACTCGCACGAATGACCAAAAGATCCAGTTTATTTCCTTACACCCCAGAGATAAATTTTAGCTGCAGTTATTAAGAAAAGGATGAAAAAATAGAAATAAGACAAATTTCATAGCGATGCTTGATCCAATAAATTTTGATGTCCCCAAAACTGCAATTTTTCGTCTCTTAATATTGCTGTTCAAGAGATTTTATTCGATCTTTGCCAGTTTCAACACTGCAAATAAGAATGGTGTGATTGCAGACCAAATCATATGATAAAAAGTACTATTATTTTTGTTGTGAAACCCATTTAACTCTACTAAGAGGTCATACTCTAGAAACAACATCTCCAAAGCCCAAGTATCTTCCACAAATTAATTTGATATATGCGACGAGCTTTTCACTTTTGAATCCAGTCAACCAGCTCCACAAACAAAGCACTCAGCAGCAATAATGCTGATAAAGCATGGCTGAGGAAAAGAAATATTTTTTCCTAGGGAGAGGGAACTCTCTTATGTCATTAACAAGGATTAAAAAGTGCCAGTGAAGCTAAGACACAGATTTCTTCAAGAGAGTGAAGGCCTCGATATTTCTTCAAGAGAGATAAAGCTCTGTATTCTCTTGTTGATGGTTAGCATGACAAAAAAGAAATTTAAGAAGATAAATTTTGTAAAACAACTAAAGGAAAAACTATGCTGAACTTCATCTCGAATGACAAAGATTAGGATACAAACATCGAGTCAGGTTGTATATTACTCTAATAGGTCATTGTTTTGAAAACATCTACAGCGGTGTCACACCCCAAGAATTTACAATACTGATATTCCTGAGATGTGGCAGTCAAAACATATATATACATCTCTTTTTAGGACAAATTTACAATGGCGAA